CCGTAAACAATGTGGTCCCCCCCAAGAAGCCACGTTCATGATTCTCCACCTCGGTGAAGTTTTCCCAAAACTGAGCCGACACCAAAGCAACCAAATGTCCCACTTATTGTGTCCAGTACGGACTCAATCCACAACAAGTCGAGAACCCAAATGAGAGTCCAAACAATCTCATCCCCATCAACTAGTCCAAACCGGCTGCATCTGAAAGACTGCCTACGTATCCTCTTGCCCAATGAATCAAGCCGAACAGTGCTCACAGAACTCAATCTTCCCACTCTTGGCTCCCTTCAATAGCCACTGCTTGCACAATGCCTGCAGTGATTTTTCACCTGTGTGCCCCAATCTATAGTGCCAAAGTCTGCTCATATCCGCTTCTGAAATAGCCAAAGCAACCTGGCCAATCTCGGTGCTTCCCTTCAGATAATACAAATTTCGATTGCGGACTCCCCTCATCACCACCAATGATCCCTTAGTAACCTTCGCTACAGCGTTTTCGAAAGTCACCTTGAATCCCTTCGCCTCCAAAGCTCTAACTGAGAGTGACGGACCTCTGCGATATACCAAGTTCCTCCAAAAGTCCTCGAAGCCAAATAGCCTTCTTCACAGCCTCCGTAACTGCCATATACTCTGCCTCCGTCGTAGACAAAGCCACCGTCGACTGTAAGGTGCATCTCCAACACACCGGCGCACGGGTCAAAGTGAACACATACCCCGTAGTAGACCGGCGTTTATCCAAATCCCCAGCATAATCCGAATCAACATAGACAATGCATAGCTACCCACCTGTAGTGTCCCGCTCATAAACTAAACCAACATTGAGCATACATCGAATGTACCTCAAAATCCATTTCACGGCGTCCCAATGACCCACTCCTGGATCATGCATGTATCTCGAAACCATGCTTACCGCCTGTGACAAATCCGGTCTCGTACATACCATTGCGTACATCAAGCTCCTAGCCGCACTCGCATATGGAGTCTTCGACATCAACTCTCGATCTTCAACTGACTTCGGTGAAAGACCAGCTGAAAGCTTCAAATGGGCTCCCAATGGTACACTAACTGGCTTCGTATCCATGCTAACATGGAATCGCTGTAGAACTTTCTTAAAATAAGCCACCTGTGTCAAACAAATTCTGCCCTTCTTCTTGTCTCTGCCGATCTCCATCCCTAGAATGCGCTTTGCCTCACCCAAGTCCTTCATCTCAAACTCATTTGAAAGTTGAACTTTCAATTCATCTATAGCCGACCTGGAAATAGAGGCAACCAACATATCATCGACATAGAGCAACAAATAGATGTACGCACCTCCTTTCAACTTGCGAAAATATACGTAAGGATCAAACTGGCTCCGAGTGTACGAATGACCAAGCATAAAACCATCAAATCGCCTATACCACTGTCGAGGAGACTGCTTCAAACTGTATAGCGACTTCTTCATTCCCTGCAGCTCGGAATCCCAATGGCTGAGTCATATATATTTCTTCATCAAGATCACCATGAAGAAATGCCGTTTTCACATCCAACTGATCTAATTCCAAACCATACTGTGCCACCAAAGCTAGCAAAATCCGAATCGAAGAGTGCTTCACCACCGGAGAGAAAACCTCATTATAGTCAATACATTCCTCCTGTGCATAGCCCTTCGTAACCAACCTAGCTTTGAACCTCAATGGAGTGCCCTCAATGCCCTCCTTCTTCGTGTATACCCACTTGCAACTAATTACCTTCCGCCTCTTTGGAAGCTCAACAAGCTCCCATGTATCGTTCTTATGAAGAGATTTCATCTCCTCCTGCATAGCCACCTGCCACGAATCAGCCTCCGAACTCTGCTCGGCCTCTCTAAATGTAGTAGGTACTAACTCATCGATACTCTCCACCGGAAGTGCATACGCAACTGTATCGGCATACCGTGCTGGAATCTGTATGTTTCTCCTCTGTCTCCGAACCGCAATAGAATCCTGAACCTGAGCCGTCGGTTCTTGATCCTGCACATTTGTACTCGTATCCTCCGTGTCACCGTCGTGCTCGCCTGGCGTCACCTCAGTCGGCACCTGCATGGATACTGTACCATCTGGACAATGTGGAGCTGCATCGATCTCCACCACCTGCGATATCTCCTCCGTCGGGTCGCTCTCCACCTGATGAGAGCTTAGAAGCTTCAAGATAAAAGCTTCATCAAACGTGACGTCCCTACTCAGCACAATCTTCTTATCAACTGGATCCCAAAGCTTGTATCCCTTGACACCACGCTTGAATCCTACAAATATGGCCTTCCTAGCTCGAGGTTCCAATTTATCAGTTCTAACATGATAATATGCAGGGCACCCGAATACCTTGAGCTGGTCATAGTCATGTGCTGGCTTTCCCGACCACATCTCCATAGGGGTTTTCCCCTCAATCGCAGATGAAGGCAGCCTATTAATGAGGTGGCTCGCATATGTAAGTGCCTCAGCCCAAAAGATCTTTTCCAAATCACTCTGCGACAATAAGCATCGGATCTTCTCCAGTAAAGACCGATTCAACCTCTCTGCCACCCCATTTTGCTGCGGTGTATGACTAACTGTGAAGTGTCTCTCTATGCCCTCGTCTCGACATAGCTGCTGAAAGGGGTCAGAAGTATACTCACCACCGTTGTCGGATCACAACGTCTTGATCTTTCTCCCAGTCTGCAGTTCCAATCTCTTCTTCCACTCCACAAACAAATCTAGGACTTCACTCTTCTTCGTCATGGTGTACACCCAACAACGCCTAGAATAGTCATCTACAAAAGTGACGAACCAATGTTGACCACCAAGTGATGCAGTCTTGGTAGGACCCCAAACATCTGTGTGCACGTAGTCCAGGATGCCTCTCGTCTGATGAATAGCAGTCCTGAACTTTACCTTCGTCTTCTTGCCAAGAACACAGTGCTCACAGAACTCAATCTTCCCACTCTTGGCTCCCTTCAATAGCCCCTGCTTGCACAATGCCTGCAGTGACTTTTCACCTGTGTGCCCCAATCTATAGTGCCAAAGTCTGCTCATGTCCGCTTCTGAAATAGCCGAAGCAACCTGGCCAATCTCGGTGCTTCCCTTCAGATAATACAAATTCCGATTGCGGACTCCCCTCATCACCACCAATGATCCCTTAGTAACCTTCGCTACAGCGTTTTCGAAAGTCACCTTGAATCCCTTCGCCTCCAAAGCTCCAACTGAGATAAGATTTTTCTTCAGTTGAGGAACAAATCTCACCTCCTTCAACTCACGGACTACTCCATCGTGCATCCTAATCCGTACGGTACCTATCCCACAAACGCCACAGGATTGATCATTTCCCATGACAACAACGCCCCCGTCGACTTTCTCAAAAGATGCAAACCAGTCTCGCCTAGGGGTCACATGAAAGGTAGCGCCGGAATCAAGCATCCAATCTGATGCATCCACATGGTTCACCTCCGGAGTAATCAGTAGAGAAAAGCACGAATCATCGGAATCATCGCCTTTCGCAATGTTCACCTCATTGGCCTTCGGGCCCTTTTTCTTGCTATTCTCCTTCTCTTTGAGCTTCGGGCAGTCTCTCTTCCAATGTCCCTGCTCCTTGCAGAATGCACATTGGTTCTTTGTTAATTGGTGGCGGCCTCTAGACTTTGACCTCCCTCTGTTACCACCTTTCGGTTGAGCTTCGGGTAGTCTCTCTTCCAATGTCCCTGCTCCTTGCAGAATGCACATTGGTTCTTTGTTAGTTGGTGACGGCCTCTAGACTTTGACCTCCCTCTGTTACCACCTTTCGGATATGGGCTTCTACCTCTTGTCGACAAGGCCTCTCCTGAAGTACTAGCGCGGGAAGTCTCCTTGTCCTTCCTCCTCAAATCGTAATTGGTCAATGCGTTAGTCACTTCACTATAGCTGATAGAAGATCTCCCGTTCAACAAAGTGAGCACGAAGGTATCATACTCCTTATCCGGTAAGGAGCCCAACAAAATAATCGCCTTGTACTCATCCGATATCTTCTCATCAACATTCGCCAAGTCCGACAACAACTTCGTATAGTTGTTCACATGAGCCGCAAGCGAGGTGCCTCTGGACATCTGGAATCTGAATAACCTACGCAGCAAGTGCAATCGGTTCTCAACACTCTTCGTAAGGTACTTATTGTTGAGAATTTCCCACATCTTCATCGCAGACGTCACCCCAATCACATCATACTTCAGCTCCTGTTCCAAACAGGACCTGATCACCCCACAAGCGTTCCTATTCATTTTCTCCCATACCGCCTCTTCATATTTAGGTGGCCTCTCGTGGACCATGATGGTCTCTTCCAAATTCTGAGCATTTAACGCATCCTGTACGTCCCGTCATACTTCACCACACTAATCTTAGTGTTCTGAAAACCAACTTGTATTGTACTCGCCATCGATTTGCTGCTTTCACCTTCTTCTCCCATTGCGAACTAACTCCAAATTGTAGAGAAAGAACAAATTTGATAGAAATTAGGAACCACCCAACTGAACCCTAGATTGGATTCCAAATAGATTTCCTAACCACACGAGGAAAGCAAAATCTCCAACGACAACTCCTAATGCTATCTCCACCGAAGCCGAGAACTCCAAGAACTAAGCTTCACACAAGAATCTTCCTCCACTAAAAAAACCCTAGATCTGAAATCTGGGCTCTGATACCACTTGTTGCGCGTAGCGAAAATTTCGGCAGCACTTCGGCAGCACAACAAGAGAGTCAGATCGCAATAAGAATTCCCGTCTCACTAAGGAGACAAGAATCTGAAGCGGATATCTCAACAAAGTGAGATATCGGCTCTTCCTCTCATCAGTTCTAGGACTGACCTATCGAGGGATCCTAAAAGCTATTACAAATCACACAAATAGCAATACAATCAATTTTTACGTGGTTCGACAAATTGCCTACGTCCACAGGGTAAGGAGGGGGAGATCTACTAATAGAGGGAGAGAATACAACTAGGGTTTACAATCACTCATAACCTAAACCCTCAAACAAACTCTCAAATCCCTCATAATATCTCTCTACAAAAGGATGCACAAAACCCAAAAAAAAACTAATTTTTCTCTTGAGTTTTTCTCCTGCTGCAATTTCCTCCTGCAGCCGCAAAAGCACCCAGCCGAACAAAACCAAACCTCCTGCGCGCTCGTACTTGCTCAGCTAATGAAGAGCCGCCTGCTTTTGTAAAGCCTCCACGCACAGAACCCTAGGAAATAAATCACAATCATATATATATATATGAATACGGGTGGGCCTTGGTAAGTCAGGTGTGAGCTTCCGTGTTTCTTCCGTGTTCACACTAATTTGAGGACATTTGCACCCGCGTTCACCCGCGTTCACACACATGTGGTCCCCCCCAAGTAGCCACGTTCACATGAAGCTCCATCAATTTCCAAATTCAAGACCTTGATGGCAACAAGAAGGCCATCATCTAAAAGCCCTCTGTACACAGAACCAAATGCACCCCTTCCGAGTAAGTTTATCTCGCTGAAGTTGTCAGTGGCACGAACAAGCTCGTAGTAGGGGATCAATCTATGCTTAGTAGGAGAGAGCGTGCTACTCGGGGTCGAATTCTTGAATCTCCTTCTACGTAATCCTAATAAGATGCAAAAATAGAGAACAAGGATTCCCGTAGAAGCTATAGCAGGGAGGATATATCTTAACAAATGCCTCCCCAAATTAGAAACTGTGGAATCAGTTATGTTGCAAGATGGAAAGCCAAATCTGGGTGCTCTACATAATGCTGCATTTCCTTCCAAAGACACGATGATGACATTCATAAAGGCACCAAAATTGTTGTCTGGTGACTACTGATGTCACTGCTTGCAGTAGTTCCATCAGTGCATTGTTGTCTATTGGATTTTTTGAGGTGGATGCACGAGCAATTCTAGATCTCGTCATTTCGCTTATTGTTTGATTAAGATCCTTATCTCCGTTAGGAGGGGTTTGATCATTACCTGTAGCCATATCTCCCTATAAATAATAAAATGTTTGGGTCAACCATTATGTAAGAGACAATTTCTAAGCCCATCACATATATGCAATTCAAGTAACTGTAAATTCAATCATTATTCAAATAGTAACACAAATTAGTATTACAAGCCAAAAAAGTATAGTATTGATATTTAACTTTTCAGTTCATACACATATGCGAGTACATGGGTTTAAATATATACATGTTTTTCTACCAAAAAGTCCTATATACACCAAAAGGGTAACTAAGAAAAGCCATGTATTGTTCTTACAAAATTGTGCTACCTGCTAAATTCTACTCCGTTGAGGAAGAGGAGCTGCTAGAACTAGACTCCACCTCGGTTGGTTGTCTCCTCCGAGTCCTGGCTACTATCAGAGTCAGACAATGGATCTGGATCAATACCACTAGTCCCCCATTCTTCAAGATCGAAGTCTGCACCAATACCCAAGATATTCGACTCACCCTCAGAGGAGGCAAGTCCTTGGTCATCATTAGAAATCTTGGCTACATGAGATTCCATACGGGAGGGGTCGGATGAAATCATAATGATTTCAGAGGGTGGGGACTCTATGGGAATAACTTCTACCACTGGCTCATCCTTATTAAAGGGATTAGTCTCGGACTCGGAAGAATCTACTGGTATGATCTCTATAGACTCTATATCAGAGGAATATGTCATCTCACTATCAGCCAAAATCTCCTCTGGGTCAATCTCGTTAGAATCGTACTCCCAGTCTTTTTGTCTGAGTTCCCAAGAGTTGTCTATTGAGATTGTATAGCTAGAATGGGTGTCTGAGAAACTGGTTGATGAATGTGTCTCCGCCATCCTACAAAAGGGGGACCATCCATCTGCATACTAAAATAAAAGGACAAAAATAAAATAAAATAAAAAAATAAATAGGTATTAAGAAATATTAGAAAATTCTAAAATGAAATAAGGTCAACTAAATCCCATATGTACCCTCCTTAAATATGTAAAAGGCCTTACTATAAAACATTTATATGCATACACGTATGTACATATGTATACAAATATATATGTCACATAATTGATCCATACGATAACACTCATCTAGCGCATATACACTATGCTACGTGCCCTACAAGGCTTCTAACGTCGAACCTAGGCTCTAATACCATCTTACTGTCACGCCTCAAATTTGTAGCGGAAATTCATAAAAAATGTTTACGTGACAGCAGCGACCCGTGCACGAGACAAAGTCCCGAGCATGAGTCAAGCTTGACACTTCATATCATAGAGATTATCTCAAAACATATATAAACTTACTGATGATAGAAGTTTAGAGCCACTATATATATATAATCAGTACTTACAACCCACAAGCTCACATTACAAACATTTTACAAAATAAAGCATATCGTTGACTATGTGAAACACCAAAGAGGAGATTTTTCCTATAACACCTCTCAGCGACGTGCCACAACCAAAAGTTTAGCTTACAATATGGCTAGGCAAGATCTAAAAAATAAATAAATAAAAAACGGGGTGAGCTAGGGTTCAGTGAGAACATTTCCCACAAGAGTTCCTAGATAGTTAACAAAATAATAATACAAATAATTCCCAGAAATAATGAATTATAAGTTTTGCACCACAAATTCAAAAATAGCAAAATACGATCCAAATATCATAATATTGTCATCTTCAAGAAAGAATACAATAGTTATATTTTTCTTTCTTATGTGTAACTGAATATACTGTAATATTTTCTAGAATCAGACCCTTTTTGAATCAAGGTAAACATTAAGAAAGAAAAAGAACTACTAAATTTGTACAAAACCAGATGATTATTATTTTCTCAATTTCACAGTCAATTGTCAGAATCTTAAATCTCGATGAGTCATTCGTAAATATGAAAATCACCTAATAGGTCACTAAGTCTACGAATTATAGCCTAGTAGCATAGGAATGCATAAAACGCATCACATAACAGATAATTCCTGGGAATCGAATGCACCTATCACTGTCATAGGTTACTAGCCAAATACAAAGGGGCCAGAACAGATTTCAGAAGGGCCAATACAAAAGGGCCAAATAAAGATGCATTCACCATATTATAGGCAAAATCATTCCATAGTGGACTTTTTTTACGGTTTAAAAATATCGAGAATCACTTGTCAAATCGGAAAGACATCACTTATCAGAATTTGCTAAACATTTTGAATCAAGTGGACGAGTGTGAACTCATCATCTTAAACCTTAATTAAAACAGTTCACGGATTTTACTTTTCTCTACTTTTATCAGATACTAAGCCACAGAAAATCTTTGAATCCATTAAACTATCGAAACACGTTCAAAATATTTCTTTTCTTCAAAAAGCTTTCAAATAAAGCAATACCCAAAATTATTGAAATCACATGAGAACCAAATTCATTTTTCATAGTTCATATAAAATCAAATTGATTTTTTTTTATATCCTGTACGAAATCAACATCGTATTATGGCTTAGGCCACAACAGAAGTAGATCAAATCACCTTTAACTTTATATACATGAAAATGATATATTATTTATTTTTTGATCACAAGATAAATCAAATATAACACTCATGTAATTTTATTTTATAAAATACTAGTGAGAAATGAACTCACCTTTAGTGGTCACGACTTCTTCAAAATATTATTCTCCTGAATATCAACCAGAACCTATAATATGAAGATATAAAGCTAATATTAATTCATGACAACACATATTATAGGTTAATCAATTCATAATCTAGAGCCAATAATTTTAAATATAATCAATAACAATTAAAATATATAAATATGGTACTTATGAACTTATTGCCAGCTTTAGCAATTTATCAAAATTTTATAACTCTCATAAACCAGCTTTTGGACTTCCTAGTAATTTATGATAAGGTAAGGGGTTATAGGTAATTAATCAAACCCAAAAGTTATCTTTTATTCTTTGGATTGGACTTGTTTGCAAATAGAGTAAATAATAGGGGTCTATACATAATTATCCTGTTCATATATGATCCTAAATTTCTATGTTAGGGTTTATTTACAAATCTTTGTGGCTTTTAACGACTTAGAATGAATTCTTAGATCACAACTCTCTATCCTCCACTCAAGAGGGTTTATTAGCAAAGCTAAAATAACTTAGGGAGTCTTGATAAATTTTCCTCCCTTTATATTGCTTTATACCTGATCCTCTTCCTCCTTCATCCTTTCTTTCTTTTTTTTTTTTTTCCCATTCCTCTTTTCTCTTTTTTTCGGCTGGACCGTCTGAGGCATCCCCCTCCCTCCCTCTCTTTCTCTCGCCATGTTGGTAGGACGACGACAGGGAACCACCGACAACCAAGAGCGGCCGGCGGCAAGACCCCCGTCGGATCTAGGGTTAGTTTTTCTTTTCTTTCTTCTTCTTTTATTTCCCATCCATCACATACATCTTAAACACATAAAAATTATCTTTTGCAAATTCTAGTTTTTAGCTTCATAATCATAACAAGTTATCATCCTCACTCATTCTATTTTGATTCAAATTACTAGAATTTACTATGCAATTTGAAAGTGGGTTATACCTTAATGATTGAGATACTGATTTGTTGCCTTGGTCTTCTTTTCTCCCTTCACGAGCTCTCTAGCTCCCAGAGAGTTTGATTGAGGATGAGAGGGTATATTTTTTCGTGGGTTTTTTTTCTGTTTTATTCCTCTGTTGAGGAGGTGCCGCCCAAATCATCGAATGGCTTTTAGTCATTAAAACACTTACGTGGCAGTTAATCAAGAGTTGAGGGTGAAATTCCAAAGAAACCCCTCAATTAGTTTCCCTAATCTTTATTTTCGAAATTATTTTCTCCATTAATCCAATTTCAAAGCACTAATTACTTAGGCTACTAGATAATTACTGCACTGTTGGCTACATTGCTCCAGATAATTGAAATTACAAGCTTTAACCTGAAATTTAATCAAATTACATATGATTCAAACCAATTCTTTCGGTTTGTGGAATAGAGTATGCATCAACAGGTAGAATCTCACAAAGGCAGATGTCTATTTTCACTGGGGAATCAAGCTTGCCGACAATGGGTATGCGATGTAAATCATACCGGCCTGTTTGATACTGTGGAGACTGTAATCTCTTGAAGATGAGAAAGGAAATGATTGTTTATATTCTATAATGGAGTTGGGCATTATCTGTTCAAGTGGCTCACCTAAACAAAGGCTTGCTATGAAAGATGTGGTTCCAAAGTTGCAGAGGATCAAGATGGAAGGGTATATGTGAGCGTATTGTATTGCTTAGAACTTTGACAAATGTATTACAGATGTACTTACATAAATAAAGGTTTCTTGCTAGTTATTTCAAGAATAACATTTGTATTATGAGTTAAGGAAGCAATTGTGAGAAACATATTATATAATTTTTATTTACTAGATTTTGTTGATAATGTATGGTCTTCTTTATATTTTAATACTCTTTGCCATTGGTAGGCACACAGCATAATGAGCTTATTTCCACTGGACAAGCAGCTCGTGAGCTGCTTAAGCTTGATCAGGTAGCAATCGTTAACATTTTATTCTATTGATGGTGGAAAAGGCACAGATCGACAAAGATGAGGCAAGAGAAAAAGGTAATGCGCTATCTTTGATTAATTCTTCTCACTTACTGCTAATATTGCGGTCTTTTTTTTTCTCTTTTTTTTTTGGTCTCTGAATGATATCGATCTGTCCCGCTCAAGGTTGTTGTGCGCGGAGGAAGCCAAACAACCGATGTGCTTCGAGAACCAAACACAAATGCCGAGAGAGAAGGCCACAAACAATTCAAAATAACGGCACAAACACAAACAACCAATTTTAACGTGGTTCGGCAAGTGTGCCTACGTCCATGGGGCAAGAAGGGGATGAGGTTTTCACTAATAGAGAAGAAGAGTACAAACCGAGATTACAAATCACTCAAACTCACCAATTAATCTCACCAACAAATCTCTAATTCTCTCCAACAAAACTCTAACCAATAGCTCCAGAAAATACCTCTTTTCTGTGCTCAAAACAACCCCTTTTCAACCTTTCCCAATTATCTCTTCTAAAATGTTCCATATATATAAAAATCCTAAAACCAAAATCATACTAGGAATTCTAAAACCAAAATTAAAACAAATTAGGAACCATAATAACTTGTTACCAAAACAGATTAGGAATCCCAATAACCTGCTACCAAAACAGATTAGTAATCCTAATAACTTATTACCAAAACAAATTAGGAACCTGCTATCCAACGCTACTGTAGGCGTCTAAAAATGCCTATAGGTATCTGAATATCGCTCGAGACAAAGAGAAGATGATGAACGTCATTAATATCTGAGTCAAAGGGGATCATCCGATACCGTAGAGGAGCTAAAAAGCACATGAAGTAAGTCGGTGAAGCGTACGAGTCTATGAAACATGCAAAATGATGAAAGAACAAGTAAGCCGAGAGTTGTGCTTCGCCCACAAAGGGCGAAGTACCATGTGTGTCTCACCCACTTCATGAGTATCTCGCTTATGGGAGTTGTAGAGCCCTTCGTTAGCTTTCCAACTCATCTTGAATCACCTTATTCCGAGATTAGACGAGAGAGTTAGATGCAAAACAATAATGAAGGCAAATCATAGCTTCCGAGACACATGTGACTGTCTCGGAAACTATGGTGGAATCTTGCAAATTTCGGCCATGATGTGATTCAAATATAAAGAATCTCAAAAGAGAAAAGTTGTAGTACTCTTCGTAAGATTTCCAACGCATCTTGAATCACCTCATTCTGAGATCGAATGAGAGAGTTAGATGCAAAACAACATTGAAGGCAAATCATAGCTTCCGAGACACATGTGACTGTCTCGGAAACTATGGTGGAATCTTACACATTTTGGCCATGATGTAATTCAAATATGAAGAAGCTCAAAACACAAAAGTTGTAGATCTCTTCGTTAGATTTCTAATTCATCTTGAATCACCTCGTTCTGAGATCGGACGAGGGAGTTAAAGCAAAAATACCCGAGACACCAAAACTGTCTCGGAAGTGTGAGACACCTTAGACTGTCTCACACACTGAGAAGCTGACAACATCATTTTTGATAGTTTTCCTGAGTTTTGTGTGGTCCACATGGCTTATTAACTGCTGGGGATCACCTATGAACATGGGGGGAGCAGTTACAAGCTAAAATCACGCCCATAATCGCAGGAATAATGACAATTAAACATGGTAGGAAAGGTTATGAAATGGCCAGAAGGCAGCCATGCTTTCGAGACAGTTGCGACTATCTCGGAAATAGAAGTTCTCCGACACGGTCTCTCTTTGACTTCTACCTTCAGTTAGAGTCCCAATGGGCTATAAATACCCCCCTAGGACCATTACCAACGGGGACGGGGCATTTCTAAGCAGATAGAGCAGATTAAGCAAAGAAACTTGAGCATTTTCAAGCATTCTTCTCAAGAGAGAGAGAGAGAGAGAGAGAGTCTTCGTTGAATTCGAGCATATTCAGTAACTTTGGGAATCCTTAAGATCTAAGCTTTGACTTGATCTTAAGAAGAGTGTTCATCTTACATTGATAAGATATTCACTTCTTTTTCTTACTTCTAAACAAAGCAAGAATCCCCAAATAGCCTTCACGGTTCAATAAGAATCTATAATTCGGTGGTCCATGGGCTAACGCACCTCCGGCACAGGCAAAGATCTCGCGCAAGCAGCGATCTAAACAACGATCCTATGTGTGTTTCTAAGGAGCATTGTAATTTGATTTTTTGTTGTAAAGAGTAGTTTTACAAAGCACTAAACTTGCTCTTTTGTATTCATTGTAATAGATAAATAGTTATAATGAATTCAACAACGAAACTTATTCCTGACGTAAACACGCTGGCGACCATAGTGGGAGCAACGGTTTTGCTACCAAGACCGTCGTGTCGTAAACAATCAAGATCCCGGTTGAATCAACGATCGAGTACAAGTTCGACATGCCAAGTTTGAGGAATATCTCTTCTCATCCTCTTCAAGATCTTCTGTCTCGCAAGTACAAGAGGATCTCACCATTGAAGAAGGCTTACACGCTAAAGAATGCTCAAAGTGAAGGTTCTTGCACAATCGTTGCTGAGGCTTCCCCTCACAACATTATCCCGGTGACCCCCAAAGCCGGAAGCTCTGCTCATGACTATTCCTCCCCGGTTAAGGAATCGTTCGATCAAAGTTTGCCAACTCTGACGAAAAGGCTCGTCAAAGGTAACGCCAACGTCTTGCTCGTCAACTCGCTAAGGCCTTAGAACAGGTCGATGGGATTCAATACTACGTGAACTTGGAGTCTAGGATGTGACATGCAACTGAATCACGTCAACATCAAGTTTCTCACGTCCTCCAAGCCATTGACCGAAAAGTGGGTTCTCGTCAAGAGGACTCGTTTGACAAGGGAAGAGCGCATCAAAAAACGTCGTGCATGTGTCACACAAGCTTGCACTCTTAGAAAGAAGGAAACGATGGCCAAAGAATCACCAAGAACACGCAAAGTTTGGATCCCAAAATCCGAACTTGTGCGAAAATCAAATCCAGTGGCGACAGGGAGTGTCCCCTTTAGGCGAGACACAAGCCACTGTCTCGACCCTTGTGTGAAAATTAAATTCACCGGCGACAAGGAGTGCCCCCTTTAGCCGAGACACATGCCACTGTCTCGGCCAAAGCACCCTTGTCCGAGACACTAGCCAGTGTCTCGACCAAAGCAGCCTTGTTCGAGACACTGACCAATGTCTCGGCCAAAGGCAAGTTCCCGAGTTTATTCCCTCAACTTCGTCGACGTCTGTTTCTTATCTGTCTGCTGCAACTACATCTGCTGCACCGTTAGTAGAGCCTTGCATTAATCCTGACCTATCAAATTTCAAGATCATAATGGTGGATTGCCTTGGTCCTTTGCACGAAGATCGAGGTAAAGCTCCGGTCAAAGAATGCTTGGGCCCAATGAACAAATTCCAAGTGACTCTTATGGCTGGGGGTCGTACGCATCCTCCCACCAATCCAAAGCAATCCCAAGTTAGGAAAATCTCGATTTCCACCTGCTTGAGGGTTCATATTAAAACTCAGGAGCCCATTAAGACTCCGCACCCGTAAGGGAGTGGTTCTAAACGTGCGACTCCTGACATAACCTTAGATCGCTCAAAACCGACAATAAGTTGTCCTGAGCATACCAACAAGGCTTTACATCCCCAGAAAAAGACATGTTCATCAAAAGACATCATTATACCTGGAAGGTCATACCAACAGACGATAGGATTCTCCGATAATCATACCATTGAATTGTACTATCAAGCTAGGGGTGTAAACAAATTTCGAAAGAGGATTGTCTGAGAAATGAGCTCTCATTGTTCCTGTGAGCGATTCATTAGAGCAGTATTGTCGTAATGTGACTACTTCAAGCGAGAAACCACCCCTCAAAAAATCTCGGTGTTCCAGAGGCTTTCCACCGAAATATTGAATCCCAAGCTAAGACTCTTCTGCAAGAGAAGATCACCTGTCCAAGATGATGAATTTCCTGAAGTCACCATTAACATAGCTGATAAAGGAAAGTCTAAGTGGCATTCAAGTGACTCAAATCCTAATTTTTTACTGGGAGGAAAAGTCAATCCAAGAATTACTCAACGAATGTCTCGACTCTAGTTAGGAACCATCAGATGTAGGGATTACAAGAGAATGCATGAAGGAATATCCTCGGAGGATGAACTTTCGGACACTTGTTCAGCGATTGCTTCTGACGATACAATATCTAGCACGGGGCAAATTAAAGAAGTGTTCACAATCACTCCTGATCATCTAGCTCAAATGCTTCAAGAAGCTCTAGCCAAGCAAAGAGAAGAGATTAGAGCAGAGATGAAAGCAGAGATGAAGTTGGCTATGCAGAAAATGAGAGAATTGCAAGCACAACGGCTTCGACCTCCTGAGTCTAGTTAGTGAGCTGAATTTCGCCGCACTCAAAATATTACAGATGATAGTGATCTAGAAGTGAATGAAGTCATTTTTGCTGATGCACCTCCTAATAACAATAACGCTGGGGTGGTTCAACGGATCCTCCCAATAATAATGTTGGGGGTGGTTCAATTGCACCCCTCAATAATATTAGGGGGTGATCCAATTGCTTCTTCTCAACATTGCTCAAAGAGAGATGAAGGTGATGACGAGATAATGAAAGAGCTGGAGAATAAGGTAAATACCTTGATGTCCGCTCAGGAAGTAAAGAAGACAGGGTATTCCGTGTTCATATCCAAGGGAGTGGGAGTCAATTCCATACCCCCACGAAGTTCACTTTGATCAATTTCATGCCATTCGATAGGAAAGGATCTCCTACTCAGCACTTAATCTACTTCAAGTCTCACTTGGGTGTGATCTCTGGAAACGAGGCCTTGATGGTTAAGTTATTCGTTGGCA